GATAATAAATATTTGAAGAATTTGGATGAAATTTTAAAATGTTTAATTAAGCTGCCAATTTTTTTTTTTTTGCCTTGAGATTTCTTGAGGGAAAATTTAGCTATTTTTAGCTTTTCTAATCAATGGAATAATATATTTATTTTATGTTCCTAACAGAATAAATTATTTATTTTATGTAGCAATAATTCATTTATCTAAAATAGAACGGATAAAAATTGATGGGGCAAAATGAAATATTATAAAAAATAATAATAGGAAAGATTATAAATGTAATGACAACAAATTTTCAAATTTCAATTAGTCATTTATATTAATTTGCAAAAAGAAAAAAGCATTTTTATGTATTTAAACATCATCTTCAAGATTATTATAATTTTGCTATTTTGATATTTTAACATGAAACATTCCATTTGATTATATTGTCAGATTCGATTGTAAAAAGTAAAACTTTTAAAAGTAACCTAAATTGGTTCAACTAGTACAACTTTAATCAGTCTTTTCATTAAATGCCTACAATTGTGAATATTTGAATACGTGGAATAGTGATAACATTTCAATGCTATGATTACTATCTCTCACTTTTTCTTACTTTTCAAATTTCTCACTGACTAAGCTTAACCAATTTTTGCTCAGCTTAAAATCAGTTATCACTTATCCTAATAAAAATAACTTGACAGCTGATATCTTAAAGTACAGAGGAGTTTTGATGTTTTAAAGTTCATCTTCACGGGAAAAAAGAAGAGGTTTTTTCGTTTTTAAAACTGCTCAAGTTGGACATCCAATCAAGAATATCTTCTATCTTTCATATATTTTCTTTGCCAATTATTCAAAATCCAAAAAGCATATTACTGTTTCCGAGAGACTTTCAGAATTTTTTATTGTTATGGCGGATCGATCTTTTGAACTATCCAACTAAATGCAGTTAAAGATTTATTCTCGACAAGTTTTCAGCAATTTTTTGTTTTTTTTTTTTGTAAAATAATTTTTTGTTTTTCTTTTATATCCTCAATTGTTTGAAGTGATATCAGTAAATCCTCCGAATTCATAAAAATATGTGACTTTCATTAAGAATGTAATTAATGTTTTTTAGAAATTCCTAACAATCAAAATGATGCTATAATAATGATAATAGCGGTAATAATAAATAATAATAATAATGATGATGACGATAATAATAATAATAATAATAATAATAATAATAATAATAATAATAATAATAATAATAATAATAATAATAATAATAAATAATAATAATAGTAAATATAAAACGGTGTGTTAATAATACCTTTGCAAAGCAAGTATTTATGATAAAACAGTAAACTTATCGGTTTATTTGATTTATAGCCTTAATAGGTTAATAAGCAAAATTTTTTGAAAAACCAAAATTAATTTCCTGAAAAATTTTTTAATAAAGGATAATGATAGTAAAAAGGAGTTATACTTACATATAAGTAATAGATAGCGGTAAAATTGTTTTTTCTAAAAGCAAAAACAAAATTGCTTTTTCTATTGTCATTCATCGATCACAATTCTATCAAGACATTTTTCTTTAATTTTATCATAATGCAAGAATGACTTAAATCTTTTAAACTGTACGGTGCAAAACTTTTCGAACAACAGGTCAAACAGTGTAGAATTAGCTAGGATTATATATATAAAATATTGTTAGCTTGATGGAAAAAAAAATAATCGGAAATCAAATAATCGGAATTCGTGAAAGCGAATGCGGAATCGTTATGAAAAATATTTATTATGATATTTATCATGATAAAATAAATTTTATACATATCATTAATAGTGATATGCTCATCATTCCTTTATTCTAATAAAATAATATTTTGACAACTAAAAAAAAAAATAAGCACATTATTAGTGGTGTATTTTGAATAAATCTATCATCAACGATTATTTATTTAATTTCATATTTCAATTTTTTTTTTAGAATAATATTGTTAATTTATTAATACTTAATTCCTAAAATGAGATATAAAATTATATCAACGATTATTTATTCAATTTTATTTCAATTTTTTTCCTAAAAGAGTATTATCATTCGATTAATAATTTACTTCCTAAAATGAGATATAAGAAATGAAAAATTTCATATTCTCATATTTAATTTTTTTTTTTTTATTCCTTAATAAATGCTATAATTTATTTTAGCCTGTTATGCTAAAATTTTCATCTTCATCCATCGAAATGTTTTGCATGTCACAATTATTAGCTAAATGTTAAAAGAATAGCTAGTAAATTGAATTTTTTAAAATTTCTTTAAAAAAAATGTTTGATTTATGGGAGGAAAAAAAAATTTTTTCTGTTTTTATTTTTCTTTTTTTTTACTTCTCTTATAAATTTTCATTAGTGTTACTAATTAGCAAAATTTGTATTATTATTTTATGATAACTATCTTTATAGTATTCTAAATTATTGATAATTTCCGCTGATTTTTTATATTAAAGGAAATAAATTAGCATAATTAAGCAATATAAAATGCAAATTTCATTAGCTGTGGTTTAAAAAAACAAATTCAATCGATGTTTTATTGTTCATTTTAATTAGATACTATATGGGATAATTAAAAGATGTACATGAACATAATGCCTTTCTTTGACTCTTTTTTTTTTTTGAAAAATATTCCTCAATTTTTCAACTTATTTTTTCACTTGGAATTTTATTTTCAAAGTTATATTTGAATTTTTTTTTTGAAGTTATATTTGAATTTTTTTTTTTTTTAGAGAGAGTAAGGATATGAATGCAACACATAATTGCAATTCGAAATTTTATTTGAATTCATAAAAAAAAATTTTTGACAAATTTTTCAACAAAAATTAGATTACTAAAAATGGGATGAAATTTTCATTTAAATTGCATTTTTAACATAATATTGGTGTGAATTTGATTTTAGTAAAGATTGAAAATTATCAAATTAAAGAAGAACATGCCTTTTTCTTTGCCTAACAATTTAAACGTAAAAATTTTTTTGAATTTATTCATTTTATTTTATTTATGTTTTATTTTTTATTTTTTGAGAATGAGTTTTCTAATAATTTAAGTAAAAAATTTTTTTGAATTAATTTATTTTATTTTATTTATTTTTCATTTTTTACTTTTTTTTTTTTTTCTTGAGAGAGAAAGAGAATAAGGATAAGAATGGAAATAGTAAGAGTAGAAAGATAGTTTATAGCAGAATATCTTTATGATTTTTATGAATTTTTATTTACTTTTTATTTTTACTTTTTTTCTTTTGAAAGAGAGAGAGAGAGAGGGAGAGAAAGAGAGAGAAATCAATCATTGCTATAAGTTGTGGGATATAAACCCATAAGAGATGGGAAGTAAATTTAGAAGCATTAATTAATTAAGTATGTCAATTAATCTTTGAAAAGAATTTATATGCGCAAGTTTTAAATGCCATCTTGATGTGAACATTTAGTAAATTCAAAAATTTGACTAAAGTTAAAATTAAAAAAAAAATTTTATTTCATTGATAGTTTATTATTTGTAAAATTAATAAAGTGTTAATAAATTTTTGTACTTATAAATAATGCATTATTAGTATGTAATAAAATATTTTGTAATTTTTAAAGCAAAATTTTTAATAGCTAAATTTAAAAAATTTGAAAATATTTACTTCCTGCTTATAACTATGAAGGATAATTTATCTGTTTATCAATTTGTCAATTTTATCTTGAAACTTTCATCAGCTTGAAAGTTTTTATTGTTTATTAAGACCAAATGATATGTTTTAAATTTTTAACAATTTCTTAAATAAATAAATTCTTAAATTGATATATAGTTAATCAAAAAATTTTCAACTTACTAAATTAATTAATAAATTGTTGAGAAATTTTCAACTTTCAATTTACCTATGATAATTAATTTTTTTTTTTAATCAATTTTTTACCTAATAGAATTGTCGAAATGTGACAAATCAATAATATGCAAATAAATTATTAATATTATAATTAAAATAAATATTTGAATAGGTATTTATAGGAATAATAAGAATTATCAATGTTAGTGTTATATCCGAAGATAGTACTACTTTTTTTTTTTAAAGCAATAAAAAATTGTTAAACTTAAATACCATATAGTTATTTTTAATTAATTAATGAGCAGTATTTAATTTCTTTCAGGTGTTTTTTTTTTTTTTAATATTTCATTAACACAATGTGATAGGATAATGATGTACAACAATGGTGTTAATCGTAATGAGAGGAATAGAGTTAGTTTAAAAAGAATAGGGGGAAAGAGTAAGGCGAGTTCAAAAAATTAATTAATTAATTAATTAAAAAAAAAGAAAAGAAATGATGTCTCATAAATGTCGTATTATTCATTTACAGCTTTTCCGGGATATTCTGTGTCGATTATGCTTCTGTTCAATTGCACGAAGACATGAGGGAAAATCTCGGATGATGCATTGTGAAAGTTATTTACAATTAAGACATGTGATTGCTATTGAACCATCCAATATTATGCTTACTCAAGCATTTGGCAATAAATTTCCTTTGCTTACTACCAAATCGATCGAAAAGGTTTTTATAAATTATTGCGTATTCCTTTTTTGTTTTATTATTTATTTTTTTATTTGAAGAAAAAAAAAGAATATAGATATATAATTGAAATATTAACAAACCAACAAACAAATAAACAAACAAGTAGACAAACAAACACACAAACAAACAAACAGAAAGCAAATAAATAAACAAATGAATCAATAAACAAACAAAGAAACAAGTGAACATACAAAATGAAACATAGGTATATAATTCAAATATTAACAAATCAACAAACAAATAAACCAAACAAACAAACAAACAAACAGAAAGCAAATAAACAAACAAGTGAATTAATAAACAAACAAAGAAACAAGTGAACATACAAACT